ATTAGACATTTTGCATCCAGCGGTTGACAGCAATCCAATCTACAATCAAGAGTGTCTGGAAAAATGGAGCAAGTACTCTCTTAGCACCTTGACAGGCCTGTTGCAGAACTTAAAATATTTAATATTCATAAGGCACTCTAAAGGTGTAAAATGCCTTATTAATATATTAATAAACCACAACTGTACTCTTCTTTGCTGCAGCTTAGGAGAAGTCTGCCACACTGTAATGATGGATGATTACATTGGTTGTTGTAGAAAAATCATGTCAGTGTAACTTCTGAGAAACTATATCCACCTTGGCACAGGAATGGACTCAGATTCATAGATTTCAAGGACAGATGGGACCAGTATGATATAATAAGATCTTTTTCATCTTGTGATCCTATAGTCAAATTTGGCCTCGACCACTTTTAGTACACAGGGATGCATGTTAGCACCGTGAAAATAGCATTAACATGCTACTTTTACATATTCCAAATTGAGTGCACAAGCTCTGTGCAGCTGCACAGTGAAAAGTCTTCATATCAGGAACAACATTAACTCCAGCAGAGGAAAGTGAACTGAAGATGGAAGCAGGGGAAGATAGGGGAATGTGCTAAAATATATAGACCACGCTCCCAACTCTACCCTGTGTCCTGATATGTCCCTCCTCAGGTCTAGAAGCAGAAGATCTGCAGAGCATGAATTCTGCATAGGTTTGCGAGCACAGCACAGAAGTCACAGCTTTTTAGGAGTACAGCCTAAGATATAAATTTGCTTCTCTGTGTCTAAGCACACTAGTGTGAATTGAAGTCAAGTGTTTCAGTATGTGGCTTCATTGCATTTTCCATTTAATGGACTAAATTAGATCATGCATTATTTAGATGAATGTAGCAATATTTCTGAGAGAGTTTAGATAAAACTACACCAACATATTTTTTCAAAAATGTTATGCTTTGATCCAAAAATAGCAACCATGATAGTTCTCATGCACTGCAGCTACAGTAAGTCTGTGTATCAAAAATCCTCGTTGCAGATTTTCTGGAAACAGAACAAAACATGGAGGTTTTCCTTCCAAAATACCCTAAGGAACGAGTCCATGTTACAGACTAGTGGCCTGTGAAAGATGCCTTAAAAAAAAAAATTAAAACCACTTTGAAATTGTTAGAAACCAGGAAAGCTTTTACAAACTTGTGTGTGTGTATAGCTACAGAAATGAAAAAATGTCCAAAATGAAATATGGAGGAAAACGTGATTTTAAAAATTATAGCAATTAAAATAATTTTCAACCTGAAGAAAACACATACAGTTGAGATAACAAGCAATGAAAACAGAGTTTTCTAACAAATCTGATGAAACCAGTTAAATGGTGGTGGAATGAACAGTTACCATCCTAATTTTGGTTTACCTGAAATGGTTGTCATCTTCAAAGTTGAAAGGACCCGTCCTTTATTAATAAATGTTGCTTAAGCAAGCAATTCTCTCTAAAAAAAATTAAAATATTTTATTAAAAATCTCTATAAATTCGTTAGACTGTAGTAAAGAAATGGGGGAAATTCCATAAGCTGATATATCTTCAAGCTACACAGGACAAAGCATTATACAAATATATCATATAGAGCAATCCTCCTCTAGCAGGGAAATGACCAAGAGACCCTCCATAATTTCCATGGCATTAATAACAAAACAGCCAAGCTTATTAACTGGACATCATTTAGTATTTTCTTGTAAAATCACACTGAATATATTACATTAAATTATATGCCTGTAATTCCACTGTTTGCTAAATACCGATCCAGTTTTGTACTAATTTCTCAGATCCGGTCAGTATTCACAATCCCAACTAGAGGACATCACACATTTCCCTCAACAAAAACACACTGATGTTAATTTAAATAAATTAATTCACAGGGAGAGGTCAATGACAGGATCCCTAGCACACTGCCAGACTTTCAAGGTAAGTGTTCTGCCAATTTGGGTCCTGAGTCAAGTCCCACAGAAGTCAGTGGAAGTCTGTCATCCCCATTAATAGGAATTGGAGCATGCTATCAAAACATAGTCACATGCTTTAGCGCAACAAAACAGAGAGCTGACTATTCATAAATGCAACTATAAGAATCTCAGAATTAATTACATAGTGACCTGCTAAAAAGCAATGAACCACCATGATAGGACTTATGGGATTTTGTTTGTTATTCTATAGGAGTTAGAACAGCAGCAAAAAACTCTTCAATATATTAAGTTAATAAATATTTGTGAATGATATTCTTTGTATTACAGTATATCTTCACTGTATTACAGTAAGAAAGTAATACAAACATAAAACATAAAAATAAGACATCCTCCGTTACCTCAGTAGGAACACTGATTTGGGGAGAGGAAAAGGAAAAATCCCCCAGCAGACTTCTATTGTCACTGCCTAAAAACTGATCATGAGATAACAACATTACCGATGAATGGAACAAATAATAGATCCAGCTAAAATACTTGGTTTTGTCAGAATATGGAGTCATAATAACTGAAAGGAGCTCTGCCGTGGACAAAATCAGATTATTGCATAGATTACTCATTTCAGAAAATATTAAGATTAAGCTATCTACTATATAGGACAGGTGGCACTGTTCAGAATCCACTATATCTGATCACAAGTTCCTGAATCTGAAATTGACAGCATTAAGGGGATAACCTTCCTTAATTTTTTATGCAAGTGAATTTAGTCCTTAGTAAAGTTACCAGGCTGGCAGCTCTGTAGACTGGAGTACCTAATTTATCCAAAGGACAGGAATAGAATGAGCAGGTGGCAATGCAAGCATCCCTACAAATGCCCTGCCAACGTTAAACTGAGCATCCACCTCTATGAGAGAAAGTTCAGTGCTCATCATGATTCAGTCCTTGGCCTCTGTGCTGATGCTGCCAATCAGTGCACCAATTATTAGTTCCTTTTTCTCTAATGCAGACACTAAGGAACTGAACAAAGGCTACTGACTCATTTCACATAGGCCACTGAACAATCTTCAGATAGTGACTGGTTTCACTTACCAACCTTGCATGGATTCAAGCCAGCAGTCTAGAGGTGACAAGCTCTGTATCTCACTTGCCACCCAGTTTCCAAAATAAAACCTCAGAAGAGTCAAACTCTAAAAAGAACCATGATGTTAGTAAAGCACTGCAAAAAGCTTAAAGTTAGATAAACTAAAGCAAGGTTAGCTTCACAAGCAAGCTGCGGCTTATCAAGCTGCGTTAGATAATTCAACAACAAAAAAGCGAGATGAGATGTTCAGGATCTCATTAAAACGCACAGGAAAAAAAATCTCAAGCTCGCAAAAGTTAAAAAGCATACAGAAGAACCTCAGAGTTATGAACTGACCAGTCAACCAGACACCTCATTTGGAACTGGAAGTACATAATCAGGCAGCAGCAGAGACAAAAAAAAAGCCAGTACAGTACAGTATTATGTAAACTACAAAAAAAAAAAAAGGACAGTAACATTTTTTTCTAGTAAAAAGTTTCAAAGCTGTACTAAGTCACTGTTCAGTTGTAAACTTTTAAAAGAACAGCTATGACATTTTGCTTAGAGTTACGAACAACCTCCATTCCCAAGGTATTCATAACTCTGAGGTTCTACTGTACTTAAAACTAACTCAACATAAGTATCAGTCAACAGCAAATAAGAGGAGTATGGCAAGTGCAGGAATATCATCATGTCAAGAGATTTAATGACCATGTCCAAGGATAAAGAATTGTTTTAAAAGAAAAGGAAAGTTTTAAATTGCATGCTCCACCCTGTAGAGAGAGGCAGCTGAACATCTCAAATAGACAGAAGATGATTCAGCTGAGTAGAGGATGTTTATATGGAAAATGTGCATCTGGCAAACTGTACCAGAATGCTCATGTAGTGATTCATTGGTGAATTTCCTTAGGAGAGGGATGGCTAAAGCCAACAGCAGACAGAATATATGGCAAGCCACAAAAAAGGGAAGGTGAGGACTAGGTGGACAATGCCTATCCAACCCAGCTGAGAATTTACTGAAGCTGGAGGTAGTGAATTGTTATTTAGCAATTAAGTGGTGGGGGTGTTTTTGCATATTGGACATTCACACCGCTTTAAAGATCACCACCAAAAAAAGGTATTAATCCAGGGAAGTCCTATGGTTCTATGTTACACAGTATAGACACCGACTCAGCGGGTGCTCAAAGGGCTGGAGCACCCACAGAAAAAAAATAGTAGCATACACCCTCCCTCCTCTCCCCCCCCTCTCCCCCGATCAGCTGTCTGCCAGTGGTCAGGAGGCACTGACAGGAGGGGGAGGACCAGGGATGGAACTTCAGGTGGTAGGGTTGGGGTGGGGGCAGGAAGAGGCAGGGTGGAGTGGAGCCTTAGGGGAAGGAGTGGTGTGGGGGGCAGGGCCTCTGGGCAGAGCGGGGTTGGAAAACCCCTGGGGAAAACTGAAAGTCAGGGCCTGTGTTACACAGGTCAGACTAGATGAGCACAGTGATTCCTTCTAGCCCTAAACCTCTATGCTTGGGGAGGGGGGCGCTGAGAGGGAACTTCCTCAGCTTCTGTTTTAGTCAGTCACTGAATAGCTCTTGCCCCACATATGATACCCCGCCCTGCCCCTACATCCCTGCCCCTCCCTTCCCCTGCTCCCGCCCTGCGTGGTGCACGTGGGAAGGGATGGGCTGATACCACCGCCCCTACTCCTCCTATCCCATCCCCACGTGAACCCACCCCGGCCCTTCCCACGCGCTAGGCTCAGCCCGTCCGTCCGTCCGTCCTAAGCCCCCACCCCGCCTGCAGCCGCCGCACTCACCTCTCACTCTCGGCGGCAGCGCCTCGGTTTCCCGCCCGCTCGCGCTCTTCCCTCCCTTTCCCAGCCCGTCGCAACTTCCGCAGCCGGCTCCGGCCTCTCCCGGCCAATCACAGAGCGCGCTGCGCTAGGATTGGTCCGGCTGAGCTCCCGTACCGCGACGACAGCGAGAGGGAAGCGAACAAAGTAGGCGTTGATTGGCCCGACTTCCGTCAATGGGCGGTGCCGGGGAGAGAGGAGCCGGGGGCTGCGTGTTTCCGGAAGACGTGGCGGCCGCTTCTGCCGCCGCTTCCAGTCACCTCCCCCCTCCCTAGTTCCCTACTGCTGCCGCCGCCACCGGCCTCGCCGCCACCATGATCTCCCTCACCGACACCCAGAGTAAGCGTCCGCCCGGCCCTGCGGCTGGGGGCTCCGGGCGGGGCTCCTGGGGCGCTGGCGGTTGCTGGGGGGCGCTGGCAGGGGGGGCTCTGTCGGGGGGCTCTGGGGGAGGGGGAGTCTTGAGCGGCACGATCCTGACGCCGCTTCCCCGGGCGGCGTCCAGCTCGGGGATGAGCCCGAGCGCGCCTGGCCGCTGTCCCTTTGTTCCGGGAGCCGGGGTCTGCGCCGCGCTCTCCTCCCGCTTCCTGTTCGCAGGTGAAGAGATTGGGGGGGGGAGAATCCCCTTCACCCCTGTTGTGGGCGGGGAAGGGTCTTGCCGGCTCCAGGGTCGTTTCCGCTCGTCTCCGGCTGGCCGCCCTCCCCTCCCGCTGGACACGTGCGCCGGGCGGCCTCTGCGATACCCGGGATCCCTCGGACGAGCTTCATACGCCAAACACGGACTGAAGTCCGAGCAGCCCTAGTAGTGAGGGGTCTAGGGAGCTCAGTGTGTAACTATTTACAGTGTCAAGTATCAGAGGGTAACCGTGTTAGTCTGAATCTGTAAAAAGCAACAGAGGGTCCTGTGGCACCTTTGAGACTAACAGAAGTATTGGGAGCATAAGCTTTCGTGGGTAAGAACCTCACTTCTTCACTTGCAAAACCAGGCATAAACCTCCTCTTACACAAAGGAAAACACAAGCCAAAATAAAAGTAA